CTGGCTAAATCAGTCTCGGCTTGGACTCTGGCTTTTTCACTCTAAAATTGGATATGGTTTCATTCCAGCTGTAAGTAAGTCCATCGCTACCGCCGCTTTTGATTTTTTGAGTTGATCTATTTCTTCACAAAGCTCCTCCATTTGCTTCTGATGTTTGATGCGCAAAGATTCGTAACGTTCATCAGCTTCTCGCATGCTCTCGGAAAGTTGATTCTGAAAGAAACCATAGCAAAAACGGAAAGGAAAAGTTAAAATTGGTAGATCTACAGCATCGCGCATCAGGCCCAGATTTGAAAAGATGTGGCAGATCATGAAAGCACCAAGGTCTCATCGGGCTTTTCTTATCAGCATCGCTGGCTTTAGATGGAGTCAGCATCTATGACTAGAGTTGACGCTGCTTTACTTAAGGGACAATGATGTTTGTCCATTTCATCCGTTTTCTTCCCACCTACTTCCCTCCCCCCTCCCTCTCCACCTCCAAAAGATGCAAAATGTGACTTTTGCTACATCACTGCACAAGGGCTTTCCGCATTCATTACAAAGACAATTAATCCCTAGAGTATGCAAAGCCTAGCAATGAATTATTAAGTGAAGTCCTACAAAAATTTGTGCCCAAAACCCTATTATATGCCAGCGTGGAGTCATGTCTATAACCCTAAACCCAATACCCTCCCCCCTCTCCCGAGAATGTCTTGAAAGTCTCGAAATCTTGAAAGTTACATGGAGTGTAAAATGTGCAAGTGACTTGTTTATACTTGCAGATGGATAGAATAATTTTTTGAAAATTTTTTCAAAAAATCAAATTAAGCTTGTAAAAAATTTTTCCTTTTTTAGTATTCTGGGGCTATGGGTCCACCAAAATTTCAGTATCGCAAAAAATTTTTCGGACCCCGTCCCCGGTTGGAAATCCTGGGACCGCCACTCTGTATACGTATATCCGGCCAGCTCGTATTATTAAACGCAAACCTGCAGCTGAGTGTACTCCTCCTCACGTTTGGTCCCCATAGCGTGGTGCGATGCAGTTTTGTCTTGAGTCTCCTCCAACTCCAACTTGTATCTTTTAACTTCTTCAGTGAGATCACGTCGTGCCTTTTCCGATTTGGCTCTAAATTTTGTGTTATAAGATTACATATACGAACTGTCAATTCCAGAAGGGGAATACCGTAAGGCTTGCTCTTGTTTCAGATCTTCAACGGTTTCGTCGAGCTGCGACTGGAGCTCGCGTAAAGATCTTTCCAGCTGCTGCCTTGCGGCGATCGCTTCGTCATTGCTGCAAGAAATATTTGTCATTTACCATGAATCGCAGCCTAGTACCGTACCTAAGTTTGACTTGAGTCAGCTCTTTATCCTCCCGAGTGAGGATCTGAGCGAGTTCGTCTATCTTTCGGAGCCTTTTCGCAGCAGAATCTCTTTGTTCCCTAAGTTCGCTTTCAACAGCTCGTTTAGCATTCTCTAGGTCGCATTGAGTTTGCCTTTCCCTCAAATACAGCACTTTATATGTTACATCATACCAGCACTGTGTCACTAACCTCTCAACCTCCTCCTGCAAATCCACCAAAGCAGACTCTGCCTTGTTCTTCTGCTTCAACAATGTTTTGACTTTCTTCTCCTCGTCTATAAGTCTGGCTGACAGGTCCTTCATCTTCTCTTCCAGAGTTCTTTTATCCTTGGAGAGCTGAGAAAAATGTCATAGACGGTTCTCTGATTATGCTCAAACTCACGCGTCCATTGACTTCTTCACGTTCCACATTTCGTGATTCGAGCTCCCTCAGCTTCTTTTCCAGGTTTATCTTTTCAAGATGCAGGGTTTGTCGCGTTCTTTCTTCATCCTCGAGTTGGACTTCTAAGTCGCGGATGTTCTCCTAAAATGTATAAAGTTTGAGCGAGATGGAGAAGTACAGATATGAATGTCGTGATACCAAAAATTTCTTCCTATCCCTTTCGGCAACTTCGCGGCGGTGTTCCTCATTGCGCAGTTGTTTTTCCGTTTGTTCAAGAGCAGCTTCTAATTCGGTCTAAATGTTCACATGGGATATTCTCCTTACTTAGTTCACTGAAAGGTTCCAGAACGCATCCTTACTTTGCGAGCAGCTGCACGTTGGCGAGCTTCCTCTGCTTCTGCTCGTTCCATACTTTCCAAATCGAGCTTTTCTTGCAAGCGGTTGCGTACTTCGTCAAACTACAATGCTAATTTCATAGACGCATTAACATTCATCTCCTTTTACCTTCTCGATTGTTTTGGACATATCCGTAATGAGAATTTCACTTCTTCTCAGCTTTTCAGATGTCGACCTCAGTTCTTGCTCTTTCTCCGCGATGACAATGTCCATGACATTATCACTCCTTATATGATTCACCTAGGATTTC